CCCCCCCCCCCCAACCAGAATGTCCTGTAGCTTCTCTGAGACATCCTTGACCCCAGCATCAGGGAGGCTACGTACCATCTTGAAGTCTTGTTTGTGGCTACAGAACCACTGTCTATTCCTCTTATAATTGAATCCCCTGTAACTATTGCATTCCCACACTTTCTCATCCTTTCCTGTTTTGAAGGGGAGTATCTACAGGGGATTCCTGCACTGCCTGCCCAATCCTCATACTTTGCCTGGCTGTTACCCACTCCCTTTCTTCCTATGGATTCTTAGCTTGCTGTGGACCATCTCCCAGAATGTGCTATCTACATGACTCTCAGCCTCACAAATGCTCCACAGTGACCCAGCTACTGCTGCAGCTCCGAAACCCAGGTTTCCTGGAACTGCATTTGGAGATGCCTCCTGGTCACAAGCTACCAGTAATGTGTCCAGCCTCCCCAGTAGAGCGGGAAGACCAAACAGCTTTGAGCTCTCCTGTCTTGACTTAGCACTTCGGATTAAACCTTTAAAAAGGTTCTTAAAATCAAATAGTATCAGTTACTTTTGGGCTTTTCTTCCCTTGACATCGTTAAAACAATCTAGCCCTTAAAAATCTATAAACCACAAAAAAGACATTGCAAACTGTAAGTGATAATCATAGTACAAATGTTAATCGCCTAATCATGAGCTTCCATTTTTCCTGTGTCACTTTTGAATCTTGATGTCACATCAGGAGCTCTGCCTCTGGATTGAGTCAGGTAATGTAAAGCTGCTCCCTTGGGCATTTCCCTCCATTCTGCTCAGGTACTCCTTGCCAGATTTGCTCACTCTCTGACCTCCAGCGCTGTGTACTATAAGAGTTCCTTAAGTTCGCTCTTTCCCCTCATACCTCAAATTCCCTAAAACCTTAGTTTGATATTTATGAACAAAGTTCTCACCAATGAGCAAAAAAAATGGACTGATTACCTCCTGCCTAATTCCTTGTTTCACCAAATTCCCAATTGCACTCTCATGTAACAAAGCAGCACTCCAGAACAGACCTTTTCATATTTTTTCCAGTTCAGGTACATTCTGGCTCCTGATTAAGCTGGTGATTGCCTCAATGACCACTTGGGATAAATAGTTCCATGTTTTACCGTCTGTGAAAACATCTAAGTAACATGATTGACGTCCTTTTACAAATTCAGTAACAATCTGCCTCTTTTTTTTCTTTAACCTCAAAAGCTTTTACTGTTCCTACATGTAAAGTACACAATTGTTTGTTGCTTTATTGCTCATGGTTGTTTCACTTTAAACCAAGGCTTTCATAAATGCAACTATAACTTTAAGTGAAACATTGTTTCCTGCAGGGACCAGTGTTAAAATTGTACTTGGGTTCTTGTTGGACCTTTATCAGAAAAAGAAAAATGTCAAAACATAATACCTTTCTAAGTTGAAATATTTTGCAACAATGACAGAGATGAGAGGAGTGCCCTGTATTTCTCCAGTCCCACTACTCCATGTTACTCAGTTCCTAATCATAATCTTTCAATTTCAAAATCAGTCCAATTCTTTCATAAATAAAATTTGTAATAAATCAAAGGTTATTCAGTGAAGGTGTAAAATTGGTTAATACTCAATTTATAACATGAAAATTGTGATAACTCCCTAAGGCCCATGGGGAATCATTCATTAATCTACTCATGTGGTTTGAGTTCCCTTAGTAACAGGCAATGGCTTGCCTAGCTGGAGCTCATCACCTGAGCCCATTATGGTCCTCTTGTGGTTCAGTGACTGAGGGACCTGGGTTTAAGTCCCACCTGTTCTAAAGGTGTGTAGTAATATATGTGAACAGGTTGATTTGTAAAAATAATATAAAACAGACCCACCCCTCTTCCGTGGTTACGTTTGTGCCCGAGTATCTTTGGAATGGGAGCACTCGGTGTCCATCAGTGCTCTCGATGCCTTTAGAGGGAGGTGGACATTGTTGGGGATACTGTACTTTATTTCTCCCTCCAACTCCATTTGATTTAGTCCCTTCCCTCTCTCCCTACCTCTGTATCACTTTTGATGGTTTGCATTACCTTTCATTCTGTGTGTAAATATTTAATTTGCTGCGTGGGTGATTACTGGTAGTGGTTAGTAGTTTACAAAAAACAGAACAGTCATGGTGATTTTGGTGGTGAGTAGGTTGCTCAATTGTGTGTGATAACACTTCTGGGTATATTTTAAAAAAGAACCAGACCCCACCCATCTTCCATAGTTACGCCCGTACTGAGTGACCTTGGAGAGGCAGCAAGTGGTCTCCATCAGTGCTCTCGATGCCTTTAGAAAGAGGTGTCCACTGCAGGGGATACAGTGCTTTATTTCCCCCTCCAGCTCCATTTTGATTTAGTCCCGCCCACTCTCCCTACACGCCCCTCAGTTTTGATGGTTTGTTCATTATGGATTTTGGTTGTAAATACTTGATTGGCCACATGGGTGATGACAGGTGGTGGTTAAAAGGGGAGAAAGGGAAAGAAACGTCACTGTGATTTTGGAGGTAAGAAAGTTGCTCAGTTGTGTGTAATAGCACTGTGGAGTTAAAAAAAGGGAAAAGCAGACCCAAATGGTTCTTGTGGTGAAGTGGTAGACCCCACCTCTAGGCTAGAAGGTCCAGGTTCAAGCCCCAGATGTGCATAATAACATTACTGAACAGGTTAATTAGAAAATGAAGCAGACTCAGACCCCTTGTGGCATAGTGGTAGTATCCATACCTCTGAGCCAGGAGCCAGTTCAAGTCCCACTACTCTAGAGGTGTGTAATAACATTTCTGAAAAAATATATATAAAGCAGACCTGGGGGAAGGTGGTGGTGTAATGGTAATGTCACTGAACTAGTAATCTAAACTAGAACTAAACTAGACTCCAGGCTAAAGTTCTGAAGAGTTCTTTGGCACAGGGATAGTGTCCCTACTACTGAGCCAGAAGACATGAGTTCCAGCCCCACCTGCCCCAGAAATGTGTCGTAACACATCTGAACAGATTGATTCTTTAAAATGTAAAGCAGACCAATGACGAGAAAAAATAAAGCAGACCCAGGGGCTCTCTTGTGGTGCAGTGATAGTGTCCCCTGCCGTTGAGCCAGAAGGCCTAGATTCAAGTCCTACCTGCTCCAGAGTTGTGTAACAACATCTCCGAACAGTTTAATTAGAAAAGTATCTGTAAATCAGACCCAGTAGGGGAGGCGATGGCCTAGTAGTATTATCGCTGGACTATTAATCCAGAAACTCCATGTTTTAGGGCTTTTGTGGCACAGTGGTAGCGTTCCTCCTTCTGAGCCAGGCAGCCCAGGTCCAAGTCGCACCTACTCCAGAGGTTTTTAAGAATATCCGTGAGCAGGTTGGTTATTTGGTGAGCAGGGAAAAGGAAAGCTCAGTTGTGTGTAATAGTACTTCTAGAAGAAGAAAGAAGAATCTGTAGAATGGTTTGTCCTGAGTTAGGACTAGCCTATGTATGTCACGTGGAGTGGCTCGATTTTGGTGTTCAACAATAAATAATGTTCCTTTTCAGTCAGGCTTCCTGAGTTATTACAAAAATATAAACCCATATCCCTCTAACTAACCCACATAACAGTATATACATGGTAAAGGGTAAAAAATGATTTTTGTCTGAAGAAATTCACTCTGGGGAGAAAACAAAAACACCTTTGCCCAATAAGTCTTAGTTCCTGAAGGCAAAAAAGGACAAGGTGTGGAATGTTCAGATGGTTACTGTTTCGGCATGTGTAGAATGTCACCAGACATGGGCATATACCTCTGGGATCTTGGCAAGCATAGCTTGCAAGGAAACAGTATCAAGGAGTCTTCCAGATGCTCTTCAAGAGAACAGTCATGATCCTCTTGGTTTCACAACAATGGTTTTTGTAAAAATAGGAGGGCCAGTGAGAGTGGGCAGCCTTTCCTTAATCAGCTTCTGGTCCTAACTGAAAATGAAACACTATCTCCTGCATGTCTACAAAACTGAGCAGTTATAAAACCCAGTCGTAAAAACAGGCAGGTGTTTTCCGTTAAGTGAATTCATGCCTCCAGGATCAGCAATTACCTGGAAGCTTGTGGTTTCAAGAAATTCCTTGTCAAAAACCGTTCCAATGTGTCCTTCCACTGACTTTTTCAAAAAAATCAATTCCGTGTATACACAAGTTCATGAAAATTGTTATGGCCTCATGATTTGTAAGATGCAAACTTTTTAAAACAAAGTAATTTAATACTATGAAGGAAGAATGTAACTTGCTGTTGAGACTGCACGTGCCTCTTTTTGCTGGCAGTTCTGCTTGCACATCCACCACCTCCCTCAGCCTTGAGGTTGCTGCAGAATCCTGTTGCTCCTCAACTCTGAGTTGTGGCCTCACCCACTCCTCAATGTTCCAGACTGTAGCTTTTCCCACTCCCAGACCTCCTGAGTAGTGGCCTCTTACCATTTCCTAACCTCTGAATTGGTCTTCTTCCCCCTCCTTTATCCATCTTTCACTGCTTTCTTCTCCTGGACTTACATTTTATACTCGAGAACCAGATTAAACCTGAAGCTACACATCTATTGCCTTTGAAGTGAGGACCCTAATGGTTTAGAAGTATCCAGCTGGGGCTTTTGCAGTCGGTTTTATTTGAATGCTTCTACTTCCTCTGGAATACATGCTGGGAGGAGAGTAATGAGTCAGGAGTAGCTTTGAAAAATAGACAAGATTGTAAATACCTCAACACCTCAAAATCATCAGGACCTCAGATATTGTGGCTGCAGCTTCAGTTTGAATCTGAATTTTTATTTGGAAAGCAAGTCCAGGAAAGGAAATTGATGTGAGAGAGTTCGAAATGGAGAAGTGGCTGCATCTTGAAGCTTGGGGAGGGAGAGAAGCTGCTGTCCTGAGGTTAGGGAGCAGAGAAGGCACCAATCGGGTCATGCAGGAATCCACATTAAAATTCATCTCATGGCATGCGACAAGATTACAGGCCCCATTAATTAACCAGCATTAAAGTAAGGTGAGCTAACTTTAAATAAGGACTAGCTGTACACTCATGGATTGCTCTGTTTCTTCACTCTGTTGAGGGTCTTGCTGTTAGTGATGACTTTCTTAGGAGTTCAGAAAAAGTGTCATATTGGGTTTGAAACATTCAAAGTTTCTTATTCCACAGATGTTGTCTTTCTCCCACACTTTGTTCTCATTTCTTTCTCGTAACCATTTTTAGTTTTTGCAATGATGTAGAGATGTCGGTGTTGGACTGGGGCGAACAAAGTCCGAACTCCTACCAAGTGAAGGAGCCTAATGAAGGAGCAGTGCTCCGAAAGCTTGTGATTTTAAATAAACCTGTTGGACTGTAATCTGGTGTCATGTGACTTCTGACTCTATTTTTTATAAAATTGAATTGCCTGTACAAGCTATCTGTTCACTCCACTAAACTGTTAGATCTATGCCCTGTCCTACCAGGCTGAAAAACATCTATTTATGCCTGGAGCTGCATTCATGCATTTCTTAATACAGTCATGTCCAGTATGTTATCCATTTGAGAATTCAGATGTGACTAATTGCATTTATGATTTGCAAAATAAAAGATAAATAAATTAATGCCATGTTAGCATAGCACATGTATGTTTATTATCAACTTTGCGTATTTCTTTCGAAAAAATGATAAGTTGACAAGTAAAGCGTATGTGTTTTATAATTGAGTGTTTATTTCCTAGTGTACGGAATAGCTTTGTCAGTGTTTAATAATTTATTGAACATGAACATTTATCTATGTGTGTGAATGTACCTAAGCTGTTTTTCACCAGCATTAGAGTATGTGGCCAAAATGATATCTTTGTAGCTATGTCTGTGGCTAATCAGTTTTTGTTTTGGATAAGACTGTCTTAATCCACACAATTTACATTCCTTTAATACCCTGTGCCCAAACTCCTTTGAACAAGGAATCTGATCAAATGCCTTCTGAATATCTACTGGTACACCATCTGTCATAGCCACTTTATCTGTACACTCTGGTCTTTTCTTTGAGTGTTCATTTAACTTATTTGAACACAATCTGTCCTTCAAAAATCCTTTTCAGATGTCCAGGCTTAGCTTCTCTGTGTTTGCTCATTTCAGAAATTTGCTGACACAGAGAAGTCTAACTTCCCATTTGATTTCCTGACTCATCCACTTCCCTCTTGTTTGATGATGTCCATTTCAGTAAGTAGATTTGCCTGAGGAGCATGGAGTGGAATTGAAATTTTTCATTGTCAACCTTAATTTAGAACATTAAATCCAGACTAAATTTGAGGGATAATAACTTATTCAAAAAAAAATCAGTTAAAGTCTTTGAGTATCTTTTCATGTCATTCTGTTCACTTGTAGTTTTCTCTGTGTCACCGTTTTCTTTTGGGACCGGAGCAACCTCTTCAGATTATGTTAGCTGTGACGCACAACTGAGAGTGTAGATCCAAGGTATATGACTAAGAAGGTCTATCTCTGGAGGATCTTGCTACATCCCAGCAGTGTGAGAATGCTCATCACATACAGTGCATTGCTTTGAAGCAACTGATGTAGGTAAAGATGGTAGTCACTTTACAAATAGGAACCTCCCACAGCATATGCTCGTGGTCATTCTTTTACCCTTCCGTTATGCAGATGTGACTGTGGTTGACCTGCTTCTAGAGTTGATGGTGAGAGATTGATGTTCACCAGAACCAGGGTTTCCTCTGAGCTGTGTGGCTTCATAGTTGTGCAGAGGTGTTGAACCTAACTGCACAGAGACAAACAAACCATGCACAAGAAGCTGTTTCTTTAAATGCATTGCAGCAGTCTCAAAGGGTCCATGCAGCAGTGCAACAAGCTGTGCACTGTTTCAAGAAATTAGTTTCAGGTGGCTCAGTTGTTAGCACTGTTGCCTCGTATCACCAGGGAACCAAGTTTTGTTCCAGCCTCAGGCAACTGTCTGTGTACAGTTTGCATGTTCTCTCTATCTTTGTGCGTTTCCTCCAAGTGCTACGGTTTCTTCCCACAGTCCAAAGATATGCAAGTTCGTGGATTAGCCATGCTAAATTGCCCAGAGAGTTCAGGGTTGTGTAGTTTCAGGATTAGCCTTGGGAAATGGAGAGTTACAGGGATTGGGTAGGGGAGTAGGTCTGGGTGGGATGCTCTTCAGAGGGTTGGTGTGGACTTGATGGACTGAATGGCCTACTTCCAACACTGTAGTTATTCTATGATTAGAGGGTACATGTGTAAGATTGGTTACACAGGTCTGATAATTTCAAAACATGAAGAACCATTGACAAGCTCAGCAGTTTTCAGACAGATAACAGATTCTAAATTAAAAACCTTGAGTTTATCAGTGCGCATCTGCAATAAAAAATTAGTCTTTTTCTTCAGTGTGTGGCCTTTGTTTTAATCAGATTTTCTGCTGAAGTCCTCAGGTGGCCAGGCTCTTGAGATACTGCAGCACCTGTGCTCCAATGATTTGGATGTTCCTGTGGGACATATTGTGCACACAGGGATGCTGAATGAACGAGGTGGCTACCAGAATGACTGCAGCGTTGTGCGACTTAACAAACGCAGGTACTTTTCACTTCTTTGTCCAGAGTGCAGTAAAGCTCCTCACATGGCAGCAGAGACATTGTGAAATAAAATTCTGCATTAGAATATCATTATAGCCTCCTTTATGTACAATAGCTGCAACAATGTTTATTGAAAGAATTTTCAGCAGAAAGTGAGACTGTCTCTCCTCCAAATCTTCTGTTGTTAAAACTCTCAAAAAAAAAAAAAACGAGTCTTGCCTTGCTTCAGCTCTATGTTTGACATGCTGGTGAAACCCAGCCATACTCCGTCATTAACTCTCTTGATTTTACTGATTATAAATTATCAGCTATTTTAATCTAACATCTAATACCTGATGAGCAAGAGTTTCTTCCATTTCTAAATACTGGGGAGATACTGTTGTCTGTTTCTGCCGTAGATTCTGATCCCTTGCCATCAATTCCTTCCTTCCCTCTTCGTAGCAACAGTTTGAGGTTGAACAACCTGTTTCAAATTTGCTGCCCTGCTATAATATCAGCCTAACTGCTGAAATCCTCATCCATTCATCTTGACTACTGTAAGACATTTCTTGCTATCTTCTCTTGTTTTGTCTTTCACAAACTTGAGTCACACAGAATTTTGCTGCCTGTCGTTACTCTCAGTAAGTGCCAATCGCCCATTACCCCCGAATTACTGATATGTTTTAGATCCTAGTTGAGTGGTACATTGGTTTTAAAATTCTCTATCCTTGTTTTCAACTTCTTTTATGGCCTTAGCCTGTCTGTATTGTCTACTCCAATGCTACAATCCTTTGATATCTGCACTTTACTAATTCTACAGTCTTTAGCATTCCTTATTTTGAATTGCTACACATTGGTAGCTGAAGCAACCAAGAACCTGTCCTCTGAAATTCCCTCCCTGAATATTATGGCTGTCAAAATCTGTCTATTCTCATAAGACTGTCTTTAAACTTGTTTCTTTTGACCAAACTTTTGATTATTTTCCTGAAAATATGGTTTCTGAGTTGTGGATTGCTTTGATAATGCTTCTGTAAAACACTTTGCAATGTTTTACATACACATTTTTGTTTGATATTGGAAGTAAAATGTGACCTAGGACTCTGCGTGCCCAGATGGGAAACTCATTTCTGGTTTGCTTAATGAGATCCAGTCAATATTCGGAGATTGGCCGCAGGTTAGAATAGTGTTGTATTTGACTAATGCATGCCCGGAGACTATGATGTTTTCTCCGGTCTCCAAGTTCCACTGTGCAATTCAGCAGAACTTGCTTGACCTGCTGGCATGGCATCCTAGATGACTGTGTGTCTGTGGAGACTCTATTTTGAGCTGGGCACATCTGTGGCTAGCTCTTTCAAAGTTCATTTGCTACTTGGTTACACTCCAATCCATTAAATGGTGATGTTTGACATTATAGAACCAGACTGGATATCACTGGAATGCTGAATTAATGTGAAGAGAATTCAGGTCTCTCTGTCCAAAAAAATTAAAGTATATCATTGTATTTTCTTAAATGCATCATCAGATTTAGCTTTGTCACATTCCAAGTAAACTTAAATTTTCATTTATTTATTACCCAGTTTTATTGTTCAAAACCAGTCGTACTGTACCTGAATGTACCACCAAGAGTGTACTAGTTCAAAAGTCTTCTGATTTTGCAGAGTTTCAGTGTAGAGCGTTGCAGTAGAAACAATTTTATCTTCTGGTTTGTGAATGACCTGCACAAACGGAAGCACTAGGAGAATAAAATGTCCAGCAGGAAGGTTGCTTCAAAGAAAAATCATAATGACTGACATTTAAATGATAACAGAGAAAAAAAATCTCTAATCAAATGTTCCTTAGAGATGTAAGTATTGAGGAAATTAAAGTCTAATTCATTTCGTCTTGAAGTTTTTCTCCACACTTTTTCGAGGAGTGTGAACTGGGAGGTGAGCTGTTGGGTTGGCAATCTTCTTCACAGTAAGATTGAGCCTTTTATGTGCTGTCTGACAAATAAATTGGTGTTGGAATTAATATGTGCTTTTGTTCATTTCTCAGCTTCTTTATCATCTCGCCCACGGACCAGCAGGTTCACTGTTGGTCCTGGCTCAAGCAGCACATGCCCGAAGACAGTCAGCTACAGCTGGAGGATGTTACTTGGAAGTACACAGGTATTGCACACTTAGGGCTATACACTACGCCGAATATGGCTGTTCCTAGAAGCATAAATTACATTAACTACTTTAAGGACAGGTATTTCCCTCCGTGGTTTTCAGAATGGGCAGCTTCCAGGTTTAAAAATGGTGTGGAAGACATGTTTTCAGTAACTTCGCAGCACAGTACTGATATTTTTTGGAGATCCTGACACTGAAGAGAGAGATAAACAGAGCAGTTGAGGAGAAAGGAATTTCTCAAACTTGGAATAAATTGTTTTTTCGGTTGATTACCCGTCTTTCCTCCTGGAGCTTCTTGAAGTGTAAGGGAATCTGGTAGCTGCATTTGAGGCTGGAGTGAATGATTTAATATTCTTTGTTTATTGAGGCACAGGAGCCTGCGGCAATAATAGCTTCAGTTGATCCAAGAGTTGACTTAGCTAGTTGTTATAGACGAGTGCTTTAGCAGGCAATCACATCGTCAGCTCCAGTCGTTGAGAATCAATCCAGATTTTTCAGTTTGTGGATTATTTCTTGTTCCACTGTAGTCATAATAGGTAAAATCCCTGCTTCTCCATGTTGACAATGACATTATAACCAAGAAGTCGGGCAACAGAGTTCCAGGTGAAGGTCGGAGTGGTGCCGGGTGGATTCAGGAGAACGTTGGGTTTGCAGCCGATGTGGTCTCCTCTATATCAGGGAGACCAAGCGCAGGTTCGGGGACCAATTCGCAGAGCATCTGTGCTTGGTACGCTCCGATCAATACCACCTTCGGGTTGTCAGCCACTTCAATCCCCCTCCCACTCCTTTAGCGACATGTCCATTCTGGGCCGCCTCCACGGCCAAAATGAGGCCACACGTAAACTGGAGGAACAACACCTTATATTCCACCTCGGGAGCTTACAGCCCAATGGCTCAACATAGAGTTCACCAGCTTCAAAATCTCCCCATCCCCAGCTTCATCCCATGTCCAACCCTCCCTCTCATCCCCGCCTCCTTGACCTGATACAACCTGTCCATCTTCTCTCCCACCTATCCGCCCCACCCATCCCACTGACCAGTCCCCATCACTCCCTACCTGCACTCACCTATCATCATCCCACCTAGCTTCTCCCCCAGTCTCCATCCTGATGAAGGATCCAGACCTAAACATCAACTTTCCTGCTCCTCTGATGCTGCCTGATCGGCTGTGCTCCTCCAGCTCCACATTTTATCAGAGAGTTCCAGATTCCACAAAGGATCCTGAGATCTGTTACACAGCATGTTTTGTGATAGCGAGTGACTATTTTATGACTGGTATTGTTGCTGTGATACGACCATACGATATTGGAACAGAGTTAGACCATTCAGCCATTGAATCTGCTGTGCCATTCAATTATGGCTGATATGCTTCTCAACCCCATTTTCCTGCCTTCTCCCTCTAACCTTTGATCCTCATACCAATCAAGAACCCAACTATCTCTGTGTTAAATATACTCAATGATTCAATGGAATGAATGTCTGCTGTGCTCCCGAATTACCCCCAGAAAGTCCTACAGTTGCTGTTCCATTGTCTTCCTTGCTGGGCTCCTCTTCCACTTAACTCTGGCCAGCAACTTCATCATGTCTTTGTAGTTACCTTTACTCAATTATAATACTGTTACATCTGATTCCAGCTTTTCTGTCTCAAACTGCAGGGTGAATTCTATCATACTATGGTCTCTACCCCTTCGGGGTTCCTTCACCTTAAGCTTACTAATCAAGTCTGCCTTATTACCCATCACCTAATCCAGAATTGCCTGTTCTCTATTGGGCTCTACCACAAGCTGCTCCAAAAAAAATCTCATAGATATTCTGTGAATTTCTTATCTTGGATTGTGCTACCAACTTGATTTTCCCAGACCATCTGTATATTGTAATATCTCCCATGATTATTGTAATAGCACCTTTCTTAAATGCGTTTTCATCTCCTGACATTTTCTGCCTATGCTGTTACTACTCCTAGGAGGCCTTTTTCCTTTGCAGTTCCTCAACTCCACGCACCACAGATTTATTGTCATTTACTAAAATCATTGAACCGTCCAATTCTGGGCAGCATACCTTAGGGTGCAGTTCTTTCATTGAGGCTAAATCCTGAGATTTATAAAAGTTTGTCATTTACACATGTACTCTGTGCCTTGAGTTTGTGATTCTTAGTTGCAGTTTGACAAAACAATGATTCCAAATGGATAAATGATTTATTTGTACCCCTTAGAATACAGTGAAAAATGCAGAAAGGTCCCCCCTGCAAAACATTTCCCCAGAATAAGTACAGGTATTCTTTAACTCCTTTGTTCTTGCTCGTGGGTCAGGTGTCTATTCCCATTGTCAGTTTTATTGCCTGTCTTTGTACTTTTTTCAGTGTCAAGATGCTCCAGTTGTGTACAGATGAATTTGAGTTTGCACACTACAAGAGCTCACTAACACCCAGAATGCTGAAAGCTGGGATCTTTCCCTTGAGTTATTCGGTAGGCAGGCAATCTGTACCTTCAGCATTGACAATGTTCACTTTGAGACTGGGCTAATTGGAGAGGGAGTTAATACCACAATTGGGAGACATCCAGTTTATATATTCAGCAATCAATCCATAAATTGCATTTTCTTTCATTTTGCTGTCGGGAAGGTTGTGGTGAGCCGCTTTGTTGAATTTCTGCAGTTCTGTTGTGTTGGTGCACTTGCGGTGCTGACAGGCTTATGACCCAGTAGCAATGAAGGAATGGTGATAGACTTCCAATTCAGGATGTTCTCTGGCTTGGTGGTGAATTTACAGACAGCAAATTCCCATACATCTGCCATTCTTCTCCATGGTGGAGACTGAAGGTTTTGTAGGTACTGTCAAAGGAATCTTTGTGAATTGCTACAGTATGTCTTGTTTGTGGTGAATGTATCTGTCACTGTGTGTTGATGGTGGATGGGTTGCCAATTAAACCAGCTGCTCTAAATGGTGTTGAGCTCTGAGCCTCGTTTGAGCCATACACAGGCAATTGGACAGTATTATATCACCATTGTGACTTGCACTTTATGAGCTACTTGCTGCAGAATTCCCAGTTTCCCAACTCTTGTGTTCACTGTATTTATATGGCTAGTCCAATTCAGTTTTTGGACAATGGTAACCCTAGAACATAGGTAGCATTCAGCAATTGTGATACCTTTGAATGTCATGGAAAGGTGATTAGATTCTCTGTCGATGAAAGTTAGCACTTTTGTGGTATGAATGTCACTTACCACTTGTCAGCCCAAATCTAAATCTTGACCAAGTCTTTCTGCATATGGACACGGACTGTTTCAATACCTAAAGAGGTGATAATAGCACTCAACATTGTGCAACCATCTGTGGATGTCTTAACTTGTAACTTTATGATGGAGGGAAGGTCAATAATGGAAGAAGCTGAAGTCATTTGGACCTGGAAGATTACCCTATGGAATTCCAACAGCGGTGTCCTGGGACTGAAGTGATTGGCCTCCAACAGTCATAACTGTTGGTATTTCTTTATTCATTCCACATTGCATTAAATTCTGAAGGCTAAGGTCCATAAAATTATTTGGATACTCTCAGGCATACATAATGCTGCAGGTTGATAACCTTGCACAAATTGAGAGCAATACATGTAAAAGAGAATTGGGGTATTTGTGTGGGATCAATCGAACAATGTAATGTTTTTTAAAAAAAAAATTTGTTTTTCTTTTCCACTAGCATTGAATTTGATTGGTCCCCGTGCAATGGATGTTCTTTCCGAATTATCTTATGTGCCAATGACTCCAGATCACTTTCCCTCATTATTCTGTAAGGTGGGTTATGGAACTGTTTTGAAAACAAAATATTGCAGCTGCTGGAAATCTGAAATAAAAGCAAAAAGTGCTGGAAAAAGTCAGCAGGTCTCCTCTGGTAGCATATGTGGAGAGAGAAACAGTTAACATTTTCAGTCCAATGACACTTTTTCTAAACAATTCTTACAGATTTGTATTGTCAGCTCAGAACCATTGTGTACCTTACACATATGAAACTATAAATGGTCCTCTGAGATTTGGTTAATTATTGTGTCATCCTAATAACTGTCGGATATCCTCTGGTAGAGGGACTACAACGGACTGGGTTGTGTTCCACAACAACCTGCATGATATCCTTTTAATTCATCGACAACAAGAAATTGGTCACATCAATATCCACCTACTTTCTCATTGACTTAGCAATTTAGAAAAGAGGAGGCTTCACCTTTGATCTCTATGATGTTTGGTGCGCTTATTTTGATGGAAGTAGAGCAGTTATATATCTTTGTTAAGTTTACCTCTGTGCTATTACAAGTGTTTTGTTAACATCCAGAGATCTCTCAAGCCAGTTGTCCTGTTTCCGTCGAGTTCCAGTGTGTGGGTTTGGGGATGGAGTTGGTGTGTTTACGTGGGATCGATCGAACAATGTAACATTTAAAAAAAAAATCTTTGTTTTTCTTTTCCACTAGCATTGAATTTGATTGCAGATTCCTGTTCCTGTTGAGATTATTGATACTGGGATTTCTCATACCGGACTTCAGAAGCTAAGACTAGCTAGGAAAATGCACAGCAGTAATTTTATTATAATTCCTGCTGGATTGAGAACCTCTCACAATAGGAATGGGCCTGCAATGTCCACTTCGATGGTGGCAGAATTTATTGCTCCTTAGTTGTTCGAGGGACAACTTCTTCACCATTTTTTCTGACTCTGATTCGACACTCCTGCCACACTTTATTCTCTGTCTCTTCATTGAATAACATCCACCAATATTGAGAGAAAGGAGGTGGTGGTACCAGTAATCAATCTGTCCCAGTCCCTCAAACAGTAGTGGGTTGTAGCTTCATATACATCAAAAAGCTACACAAATCCTGCTTCATTCAAATTTGCTGTACTGAACTGAAGAGCAATATCCACTGATTTTTGTTTGGTGGTTTGGCAAATATTTACCCAGGGATGGGGATGTATATTTTTTTTTGCAGAGGAGAGGGTCTCTGTGTGCATGTACTTGCAGAGGAAGGAATAGAATGTACTCTGTATACTGAGAGGATTGATGAGTTGCTACTTACTATGTGTCTCCAATTAACAGGAGATGAGTGTCGGTTACGCTAATGGCATCCGGGTGATGAGTATGACACATACAGGAGAGCCTGGCTTCATGCTGTATATCCCCATCGAGGTGGGTACTGCACTGAAATTGTGTTTATTGCCTAATTCATTAAATGATACTGAATTTTGTGTTGGCTATATGAAATTCTCCATTATAACAGATGTCTAACATTTACTTAAAGTTTTTCAATTAGTTTTGTTCAGGGAGACTGCAAATGAATGACGGCCAAATGGCTGCAGTACAGCTACACCACTGGCGTCTACAAGCAATGTATTAAAGTGCCTAAGTGTGTCCTGCACATGCACAGCAAGACAAATCCAACCCAGCCAATTACCGCCCCATCGGTTGATTCTTGATCATCAGTAAAGTAGTCAAAGGCTTCATCAATGGTGCTATCAAGCAGCACTTGGTTAACAATACCCTGCTCACTGGTGCTCAGCTTGGGTTCTGCAAGGGTCACTGCTCTGATTACACCCTTAGTTCAAATATGGACAAAAGAGCCCGATTCCAGAGGCGAGGTGAGAATGACAGCCCTTAACATCAAAAGTGTGGCATCGAGGATCCCTAACAAAACTGGAGTTAATGGGAATTGGTGAGGGAAGTCTCTCTGATTGGAGATATACCTGGCATGCAGGAAGCTGGTTATGGTGGTTATAGGTCCATCATTTCAGTTCCAGAGAATCCCAGCTGGAAATCCTGCCTTAAACCCAACGACCTTCAGCTGCTTCATCAATGACCTTCCCTCCATCATAAGGTCAGAAGTGGAGATGTTTGCTGATAGTTGCATTATGTTTAGTGCCATTTGTCACTCCTAAGATATTGAAGCAGTCTGTATCCAAATGCCGTAATACCTGGACAGTATCCAGGTTTGGACTGACATGTGGCAAGTAACATTCGGCCCCCACAATTGCCAAGCAATGACCATCTCCAGCAAGATAGAATCTGATCATCTCCCCTTGACATTCAGTGGTATCGCCACCACCGAATTCCCCCATTGTAAACATCCTGAAGGTTATCATTGACCAGAAACTCAGTTAGTCTTGCCAAATAAATACTGTGGCTACAAGAGGCTAGGAATTCTGCAGTGAGTGACTCATCTCCAAAGCCTGGATGAAATCAACTCCCAACAATGCTCAAGAAGCTTGAAACCATCCAGGAGAAAGTAGCGTGCTTAATTCGCAGCACATTCACAAACATTCGCTCACTCCAGCTCTAACGCTTAGCAGCAGCTACAAGAAGCATTGCAGAAATTCACTAAAATAGCTTAGACAACACCTTCCAAACCCACAATTATAACTGAGAAGGACAAAGGCAGCAGATTAATGGAACACCATCACTTGCAGGTTCCCCTCCAAGCTACTCAGCATCCTGACTTGGCAATATGCCACAGTTCTTTCTTGAGTGTTTAAGTGTATTTAAGTGTAGCATATTTCAAATAAGATGATTGAATTATGCAATGGGCAAAGCATTGCAAACCAGTTCAACCATGACCTATGCTGTTAGTTTCCACTGAGCTGGCATTAGAAGCACTGCTGTTCTTGGATTCTGTGCCTTGAGCTTCAACCAGAACTGTGACTGATCTCCAGTGAATCCCCCTGGTAGTTAGATGTATGTTTTACTTTAGGAACCCTCAGGATTTGACTGTCGTGTTCTGCTTGCCAATTTTTAAGCTGCTGCCAGCACTACTTGGCCAGGTTCACGCATGTTGAAAATCATTTGTGTGAACTACTGGAGGGTAGCGTCAACAAACTTGAGCACATATAGGACAATGCAGTAATCAGGCTGATGAATAAGCAGTCATGTCTCTGACTCTGCTGTTCTTTTTTCAGTATGCTCTTCATGTCTACAATGAAATTATGAATGTAGGGCAGAAGTATGGAATCCGGAATGCTGGGTACTATGCACTGCGCAGTCTGCGTATTGAAAAGTTCTTTGCATTTTGGGGTCAAGACCTAGACGCCTTTACAACACCGCTGGAGTGTGGACGTGAATTCCGAGTCAAGTTCGATAAGGTACTTGTGTGTTTGGAGTTTAACGTGGAAGAATTCATATTAAAGAAGAAACAGAACATACTTAATTTTGTAAAGTAACATGGGTGGAAGAGTGGAGTTACTTGTAATGTGTGTGTATGTATCTATTTTTTCTATTTATCTTACTGTCTTGCTCTGCTCCCCCTCGATCTCGCCCATTTTGCTCTTGCTCCTTTTCTATCTGCTGATTCACTCATCTCCTAACTGTCAAAGAAAGCAGGAAAAAGGCAGTGGAAAGGCTCAGTGGATGGGGTTGTGAAATAGCCTGAGATTGAAAAGGAATCCTGCGTCTTAGTGCATGAATGTGAATGTAATCTATTTATTGAGACTCATGTAAATTGATTTAAATGGAGTAGTGGACAATAATGGTTTTGAATATCTACTTATCAAGTCACACATGCTACTTTGGACAGAAAATAACGCTGCTCATATTGTGTCCCAGGGTTTTCTGTTTTTCTGGGTTAACCTCCTCTTTGTTTAATTGTAGGGAACTGATTTTATTGGCCGAGATGCTCTTTTGCAACAAAGACAGGAGGGAGTTTGTCGTCGGTTTACCATGTTCATCCTGGATGATCATGACACTGACCTCGACCTTTGGCCTTGGTGGAGCGAGCCTATATTCAGGAATGGGCGCTATGTAGGCATGACAACTAGTAGTGCTTACAGTTACACATTGGCCCGCCACGTCTGCTTGGGCTTTGTTCACCAGTATGATGAAGACACTGGAGCTAAACTGGTGGTGACCCCTGACTTTGTCAATCGTGGTGATTATGAAATTGAGATTGCCGGACAGCGCTTCCGGGCAAGGGCCAAACTTTACCCTTTCAGCTCCTTGTTTACACAGAAGAAGAGGAAAGATGAAATGGAACTGAGTAGCTTTCAGGGGAAATAAGAGCCCCAGCAACACCTTTTGAGTTGAGGTGAGAACGGGTCAATAATGCAGTTCCCAGGAGGGAGGTGAGGGGAGGCAAACGACCATTATATATTGTTGATGGCGTGCATAGCTATTTTTTCCACTCTGCACAGACACTTTTGTGTATATAAACACAGATGAAAGAATTGTTCTGAATGTCTCACATCCAGCTGGACATATGGACACTACTCTTGTGTTTTCTTTGTTTATTGTATAGAGGAAAATGCCACTCTTTTTTTTCTCTGAGGAAA